CATACCATTCCATGCCTGGGAAGCAATTTAAAAATGGAGGAGCAGGATTTTACTGTCAAGCAGGTCCTTTTTGTTAAGGTATAAAAGGAAGTCTTCACAGTCAGCTCCCTGTCTGAAAAAGAAGTCTTGGCATTCAAAAAAAAAGGGGGCTGTCCTCCTTGTTTTGAGAAATCTCACCAAATGGTCTCATATCGATACTAAGCAATAAAGGACGAAAGCTGTTCCCCCAAAAATACACCAGCTCGTTTGTCCTGCTGCTGTCATCCATTCTTGCTGTCTGACAGATCTTTGAAGGGCAGCCCCAAACAGGCTGGCAGAATCTTCAAGTGCCAATGCAACAGCCTGTGGCAAGGTCTACTCAAAGGATGCCAAAATATCCATTGTAACCAGATGGCAGTAGTCTGAACTGATTCTGATTGCCAACAGTCTTCAGTTCCAGGGGGACCTGAATATAGCTGGACTGCCACCAAGTGAGTCACGGGTACACAGGGCTCATGCAGTTTCCCTTGTCCAGAGGCAGGAAGGTTAGATACCTGCTGACATCAGGAAATGGTTTCTGGGCTTCCATTCATTGCAGTTCAGAATAATTATCTCTCACCTGGGTCAGTAATCCAAATCCATCAACAATAACCATACAATCAGCTAAGCCATGAAAGTCAAGTAAAGATAAGCAAGTGAAGCTAGAGAGATCTTTTATGTTAAGTAATGATATTTTCCCAGCCCAATCCAAGATCCCAGTAGATAGCTAAAGTCAAACATTTCCATGCAGAAGAACTAGAAAGAGCTGAAGTCCTGTCTGGAAGGTGCAGGACAATTTGGCCTGATAATAGAACTCCTACTGTATAGAAAGACAAAAGAAAAATTGACATCCAGGACTTCATAATCCTGTTGAGGTAAAGAAGCATATTCTGATTAACTAGGAAACAAAAGTCAGAAGGTCCAAGAAGCAAGATTTTCATGTGCTAATGACACTGGCAAGCCTTAAAAGCAAATGTCTTGGGTCAGACTTTGCAAGGAAAGCATTAAAGGTAACTATTAACATCAGTGACTGCTTAAAAGCAAAAGAAATAGACTTTTAACTCCAGACAAATCATACTTGCTCTGCAACTAAGATAAGTGGATGGGTGAACAAAATCAGCTGTACTGTTATTGTGAGCATATCTCCATGGAAACCCAGTCATCTTCTGAAGTCAAAATGTGTTCTGCATGATGATTCAAAGTTTAAATTAGTGGGATAGATTTCCCCATGTGTTTGTGCCAAGTGCCACTACAGAATGGAGGTCTGACCAGCCATAAAATTTAGAATTTTCCTGGGACAGTTTTGGGAGAAGAAAGAATAGGTAGGAAGAGATTTGGGGGAATATTTCATAAAATCATATAGTCCCTTTGCTTCTGATCTTGGGCCACTTAGGCAAAGTTTTTGAGGATGTTGTAGTTCGTGTTGGAGCAATAGTTTTTCTGAACTCCAGGCAGGTGTAACATTAATACCAAATGCAAGTGGAAGCTGTTCACCCTTTTTAGTGAGCTGGTAGAGAAAGAGATTTAATAGAAAGAAAAAGACTAGAAGAGTTGAGTGACATGCTCTTAAAAAATAATTTATAAGCCAGTGCAACTACATCCAGGCTACTGAGGTTAAGGAATTGGTTCTGAATCCTTTAGACCTGTGTTCAAATGCTTGATTAGACTTAAAAGAACACATGAACTTGGCATTCATTCATCCTAATACTGACTGGAGCACATGCCAACCTGGGCTCTCCTCCCAGTGTGCAACTGTCAGCCCCTGCTTCTGGGAAGCAGGAGTGGAAAACTGGAGGTGTTATAAGCTACATCATCAGAAACGAGGTGTGTTTTGAGTTGTACAGGAGAAGCTTTACATGCAGAGAGTCCTCAGACAAATCACAGCCCTTAGTTTGGCACTGTTTCAAAGGCTAAATCAATTGCTTAATTTTAATTCTTTATCAGATGTTTCACATGGAAGTAAATGTAGCTTCCTGTATATTGGCTTGGCTCAAATCCATCAGAGTAAATGGCTTTGATAGGATTTATTGCTTGAACTGTACAGGGTGACATACATCTCATCTGCTGAACGTTACATTCAGATGCCCTAAAAACTCACAAACAGAAATACACAGCACTCCTGCTGCACACACAGAGGCACCTGCAGCTCTGACACTGAAATACAGGAGAGAATAGGTACAATCCCATCAGATAATCTGAACTGAGCCATCAGAGAAGTGTGATGTGCCCCTCTGTTACATCTCTTCAGTTTCATGAGCCTGAGAATTACTCTGATTCAGGGATTTATCTTTATGTCTTTATAATCAGTGAGAAAACATGCCCACTTTATAAAAGGAAATGCCTTTTTTGTCCCCTTGAAAGTGTCAGATTGATGGCTCTTGTCAAATGTTTTATAAGCAGGCAAAAGGCTTTATTTTCTGTAAACCAATTCACCTGGTACTCACCTGAGTACCTGGGCTGCATGCTCTGAAAGAAAGGAGACAGGTCAAGTCCTACTAAGACATCAAGCTCAGCTTCTCTGCAGAGCATGCAAGAAGGGCTGATGCTAGCCAAGGCATGCAAGGTAGTGACTCAGGGCTGCTTTGAAACAGAACAGTGCCCAGTTTCTGCAGACACTGTGCTCAAAATTAAAGGGCAAGACCTTGCATGGTGTCTTACCAAGGCCAGCTTAGAAATTTCCCAGTGCTCAAAAGTTAGGGAAGTGAGATCACATGCAGGCTCTAATTTAAGATTTTAAATACTTTGGAAAATAGTTAGAACAGATTTGATTCTGGGAAGCTCCTGGTGCAGTGGCATTCTTGGAGCCAGGACTGAGCAGCTGTGTGGGGGAAGGGACCAGAGCATTAAATAAAGCTACTTGTTGACTGCCTGTAAAATTGGCTTCTAAAGGGAGTGCCACAGAGCACCATCCATTACCAAGTGACAGAGAGTCTTTTTCAGGTACTCTAGGCAAAATCATAATTAAACTCTGTGTGTTCCTGGTCGGTACAGTTGGTTGTGGGTTATTCAGCTTAATATTTACAAAAAGCATAGCTCTCTCCCGTGCCACCTTAACCCTGGGCTGTTTTTCTCTTTCCTTCCAGATGCTGGAGAGCTTTTCAATCCCTTTGTTCATTGTCTTCATCCTGCTTTTCATTTTGCTGCTCTTTGTGGTGCTCATCAGGAAAAACGCCACTGCTGCCCTTATCTGGAACGAAATAATCCGGGAAAAAATAACCAATTTCATCATGAACCAGAGCAAAGAACAGAGGATTTTAAATTTCGTGCTGCAGAATGCAGTGCGAGGAGATCCCTGTAGTGTGATGGCCAGTATAGACAAGTACTGCTCCCAGAAGGAGTGGGCCATGAACGTGGGCGATGAGAAAGGTAATTCCAGCAGGGATCAGCATCTGAAAGATCTTGAAGACTAGCACAGTACAGGAAATCTTATTGTATTCACATGGTAACTTCCATCTGCTGCTACTGCAAAAAAACGACCCACACAGCCCTGTGGTCAGCGGAGTAGGTCTGTAAACAAGAGTGCCTGCTGGTACAGATGGTTTTGAGGAGGGGTATCCAGGGAGGCATCCAGAAAAGTCTCAGGACCAAATCTGGGTTTCTGTGTTGGGCACACTGCAAGTATATAGGCAGAGGGTGACAGTTTATGGGGCAAATCTAGGGTTGTGTTACACCTCAGTTCCTCTACAGGGTGCCCTTAAGGCACAATTCATTGTGGTAAGTATTTTCAGATCCTTAACAAGATAGTAAATTTGGGGGAAAAAAGTATTTTAAACTATGTTAATTTTGCATACGCAAGCATGAGTTACAAGTTTCTGCTGAAGGGAGAGATCCTACCCATATCATACACAAAAGCAACTATCAGGCATTGTTGCTATTTAGCAAGTACATAATCTTGTTCTTTCCTCCTAAAGGAAAATATGTGGACAAAAATAACTTCCTTAGCTGCAGGAAAGCAGCAATCTTCAAAACACTATAATGGCAAAATGCATGTTCCCTGATGAAAGAGAAATAAAAGTATCTCTTGCTGGGAAATTGCAGGGAAAATTTGCTAAGTCTGGGATTAACATAGCTAATGAAATATAACTCTGAGCATTGTAATAAAAATGCTTCTCTGTCATGGGTGCATGTTTTGAAAGTAGCTCCTGTGCATCTAAGACTGAGGTGCTGAGAGAACAGTAGGCGATGGCTGAGTAGGAATTCTTAAAGCTCTAAACTTTGAACTTTTGTGATTATATTCTTAGAAATGTCACTCTAGTTTTGTTCTGATGATATTTCCTTAGATAAGAGTCATCAAAGTTAGGGCATCTGTAGTTCCTAAAGGTTTGAGAGTGACCACATGGCCTCAAGATGCAAACATCAACATCATCACCACAATATGCATGGAAAATACTACTTAATGAAGTGTATATGTACCTTGAAAAATTCTATGGCTGAATGTATAATCCCTTCAAATATTTTTTCAGTTTGGTTATCTAGTTTCTAGCCATACATGTAAGAGAAACAGTTTTCTCACAAACAAATTCTTTCTTCAGAAGGACTGAATATAGTAAACTGTCACTTCTTTCTGGGAACATTTTTTTGTCGTTAACAATCGACTAATGTTTTCCATCCCACAAATTCATGGAGTGAATCCAAATATTTTGCAATTTTATGAGTAGACTTTTTTTTTCCCGCCTTTAGAAAAGATAAGAAAGTTTGTATCAGACTACAGCATGCACCATTTGCAGGAAACACAAGCACTCAAAACTCCCAAGTTATATATTTCACAAACATGGGCACTTTCTGCAATAAGTTCTTGGAAAAAACCACTGCATTTCCCTCTTCTATCACGATAAATATTTTAGTTCATTCAGGGAATTCCTTACTCAGATATGTTTATATTCTGAAACTAAGATTTTATTTTTTTTTTTAGTTGAAAGTTTGCATTTTGAAACTTAAAATGTCCATGGTCAACTTGATCACAAATAAGCCACTTTGCAAAGGATCCAACATAAAATTTTACATCAGCCCGTAATTTTGAATGTCCTGAGTGGCTGAGTACATGGATTTTGTAAGTTTCTGGTCACTAACTTGCTCTTTTGGATGTGAACAAGTTTGATTTTGTCAAAAGATAACCTGTTTCCATTTTAACTAGGTTTAATTTTAGACAAGACAGTGGAAGAGGTCAATCCATCCATTGCACTGGAGCTGGGAACATACTGTGGCTACTCAGCAGTGAGGATTGCTAGGCTACTGAAGCCAGGAGCTCGTCTTCTCACTGTGGAGTTCAACCCAAAGAGTGCTGCTATAGCTAAACAGATGATTGAGTTTGCTGGAGTAGAAGATAAGGTAAATACCATTTGTCTCTGGTTGATATGAGGAAGCACTACATGAAGAGGGGAACCTTATCCATAGAAACAACAATTATAGGTTAAAATTTGTTTTTTACTTGTCAAGCAAATACAACACCCTAAGTGTTTGGGAACATGCAGTTTAACCAGCAGGCTTGATAGCAGAGAAAAGCTACCTGTGTCCATGCAGAGGAGAAATGCCATCTGCTTTTTTGTAAACAGTGCTAGTGAATGAAATTTGTTAGCATCAGACAGAGGTCCAAGTATGATGCAGACTCAGCTGAGAGTCAAGGTAGAGTCTGAGGCTTATAAAGATGTGTGTGTGACCAAAATGATCAGGCCTGTTCTCCAAAGTTCTTTGCTATGTAAATCAGGGTGAAGATTCAGAGGGACAAGACTAGAAACAATCATCTACATCCTTATCTCTTTAACATTCTGAAAGCATTTAGACTTCATTTTCTAATTTGGCCTCTTCACTATTCAGTGACAGTAGACAGACCATTTGCTGAGAGTTATTTTCAAAACACATGACTATAAGAATAATAGAGACCTGGAGGGAAACTCCAGAGTCAGTTATTTCTCTCCGTGTAGTCACAGGACATCAGCACACACAGTTGTTTCATAAAATTAGTAACCATTATTGCAAAACTGGCTAGATTTACTGCCATTATTGCACTGCAAGACTTTCCTACAGATTCCTTGTCCTGATAATCAAAGCTTTTCTATGATTTCCATCCAACATTTATTCATACACATTTTGTATTTTTTTCTCCTGTACCCACAGTCCTTATTAATGTAACCAGCTCAATGCCTAGTTACAGTCCCTGACCTCCCACAGCAGTACAGCTGAGGATTTCACTGTGCTACCTTCCAAAAGCCAGACTAGAATACTGGTTTTCTTTATACAAATTAAAAGGTTCAAATCAGTGCCAAGACTGACTGTAACAGAAGACTGAAATATGGTCTAGTTTGTTACAAAAGCTCACAGGCAGCAGCTCTATTATGTGCAATGGACTTCAAATGAGAAGTATTTGCCCAGTTGGTCACTGTGTGTATATACATATATATATATGTGCATACACACCTAAATTTTGTGTAGTCCAAGATATCTTGACTCTGTTGGCTGAGGTGCAGATATTCCCAGCCTGTGACCCATGTGATTCCAAAGCAGGTTGGGGATTCATGCCTGGGAAGTGCCTGTCTGTTTGGCTACACAACTCACTTAACAGAGTTGGTAAAACTACAGAAAGTAAATCTCACCATGAGACCTTTTAATACGTTTCTCAACTTCTTGAAGAGAACCTGAAGTACTAGTGACATCTAAGACAGCATTTAGCCCATCTGATTTAATCAGCTGTGAGTCACAAACCAGACATTTCCTTACCCCTTTCTTCCCCCTCTCACAGTACATGGCACTTGCCTAACAAATCCATATGCAGCAGCTGCTTTCAGTTCAACAGTGCTCATGCCAATAAACCTGTGAGGAACATGTAGCAGCCTCTGTCCTGCCTTTTCCCTCTCCTGGTCCTATCAATTTTACATACTGTAGCCTCTAGCTTTATTCTGAGCTAACCTATTCTCTGCATTTTTTGCTTCCCTTGGACTACAAGATTCAACTGAGATGTAACTAAAAAAATGTAATTAAAAGTACTGTTTTCAACAGGAGATTCCCATGTTTAGTAAAGAAACACATTATCTAACAGAAACAACAGGCCACTTTTTCTGCTGTTATTTTAAAAAACAATTTTAAAAAACAAAACACCCAAGTCCATATTTTGGAATGTATCCGAGTTGGTTTGTCAAAAAGAAAAAAGTACACTTGATCTAACTCTATGAAATAATTCAACTGACACAATATTGATCAGGATCACTGGTGTCTGGCCACAATTTCAAATGAGCTAGAAGCATGTGCTTTTTCTTTATGGTTCAAAATTCATCAGATGGATTTGTATTTCAGGTAAGAATCCTAGAAGGCCCTTCAGAGGAAATCATCCCCCAGCTGAAAAAAAAATATGAAGTGGATACTCTGGATTTTGTCTTCCTGGACCACTGGAAAGACAGATACACACCAGACACCATCCTCCTTCAGGTCAGTTTGCACTATTTCAGTCTTTAAAGTAAAGTAGCAAATGCCTTGATGTCTGTAAGGCCTGTATGCTTTGTGAGGGACCTCATCCTCTGCGAAATAAAGACTGGCATCCAAAGCAGCAAACTTAGGAGAAGAGGCTTTGAAGCCAGGACCCCAAACTCTTGTTAAGGACAACTACACAGCTCAGGACTTGGCAAGTACTGTTTTACTATTCTGTTTCCTCAGTACTCCTTCTTGTTTTGCCTGAGTCTCTGGTACCAGCAGAGCCTCTTGATGAAATACTATTTTGGTGGCACAGCTGGATATCACTTTTCTGTGTCTTTACACTCCACCTAATTAACTGGCTGCTAAACAACCTTCATAGTAGTGCAGACTGCCCCAGCCAGGCACTTGCTAGGAAAATGCTGTCCAACTCTATCTAAATCCCCAAATGTGGAAAAATTATGCTCATTTCTTCCCAAGCTGCCTTAACCATTACTGTGAGCATTACAAAACAAGTAGCCTGTGACAGCAGTAGGCAGTGATAGGTGAGATAACTACTAGAGGACTTCTGGATTGGAAGGTGTTTTCAGGTGTTAATAAACTGAGATTGACAGCATCACCACAGCACATACTCTCCTGGCTTTGGAGCTGCAGGCTGATAAAATGTTCTGCAAGTGCCTGTTTGTGTGGAAGTGTAATTTTTCAATTATTTTCTTCACAAATAAATCCACTTTTTTTGAGCCTGCCTCTTAGTGAGAACCTGCCAAATACTTCCTGACCCCTGCTTGAGGACTCCAACATTATTTTCTCATCCAGGCTCCCATGTTTTTTAGTTTTAGCCCTGTCCTCCAGAAAGCTCTTTGGAAAGGAAATTTGTTTGGGGTTATGAGCAGCCAGTATTGAATTTACACAGCAGTAGCTGAAGAAAATGTTCCCTCCCTACAGTTATTTTGTACTCAGAGAATGCTTTCTTTAAAACTGCCTGAGTAAGGATGACTGAGCTCTTCCCACTGGGAAGAGTTAGCACATCCTTATCGGAGCTTACCCTTCACAACACAGCCAAAACAAACAGGTGGTTTAGTTCCATGGTAGTGGTCAGACTGATGCAACTGTGACACAGAGTTGCAAAACTCCCATGAAATTAAGAGGACAAAGAGGAAGAAAAGATCTTCACATTTTCCCAGAGGTTCTAACATGCACTTTTGGCAGGTATTGTAATATGAATAGTGAATATGAAGTATGAAAATATTCAGATGAAATATATATATATTGAAGTGGTCCAGACATGCACGTCTAGAAAAGCCAGACATGAAAAGCATCTGGTGACCAGTGGGAAATACAGTATGTTGTCTCTTGTAGGCTTCTGTAAGCTGTGCAGTAGAAACAGACTGGAGGGTATTTGCCATGTCTCTAAAATTGCTTCTACTATGCTGACTGGTGTTCAGTCACCAGAGGCAAAAGCAGTAAGCTAAACAGCCTCTGCAGCACACTCATCACCAGGACTGCTCTCATATACTGGAAGTGACAAAAACCACCCCATGTTTTGGCTACAACTGCTGCCTGTAACCACAGAATAACAACCAGTCTGATTAGCAACAGGCTTTGTCTTAAAACAGCTGCTAAGCTCAGATAAGCAACTTCTCCTAGACAAAAAATACCAGTAAAAATTAAATTTGTAGGTTTACTGAGGATAAACATTGCACTTGAAGTGAATATTGCAAGTTAATTAAGCCTTGTGGAAATTTGTCAGAGTGATCTTCATTGTGTACAAACACTGCTTCATGCCCAGCTCCTGAGCAACATGGCAGAAAGTTGTTTGAGATGAAAGGAAAACAAGTGCAGAAAATCTCTTTTATTAATTTAATGGTCTTGGAGCCTGACTGAGACTGGCCAAAGCACACTGGGCATGCTAATCTCTCAGGTGACCTTAAGAACTACTACACCAATTTAATGCCACAAACACTAGGTATGGCAGCCAAAACAAAGCCATTTACTGATCATGTAGACAGAGTTGGAAGCAAGCTGAGGAGCAAACCACACACCTCCACTGTGCTGGATTTGCAATTTCAGAATTAGCATCAATAATGTGCTACTGCTTGTGTCAACAGAAGTCAGCATATGATCACAAAGCTTTTCTCATGTCTTTTCTTCCTTCCAGACCCATAGCACAATGGGGTTTTGGGTGCAGGCACTCGAGTATGATATGGTTAACATGCAAGTACGATACATTCAAGCCAATGTCTGCTTAGCAGCCACTATGAAGCAATTTCTCTTCTTTCCAGGAATGCAACTTGCTGAGGAAGGGCTCAGTTCTGCTGGCTGACAACATCATTTTTCCAGGAGCTCCAGAATTCCTTAACTATGTGCGCAAGAATCCCCATTTCCAATGCACTAACTACCCATCTCATCTGGAATATATGCAAGTGGAAGATGCTATGGAAAAGGCTGTGTTTTTGGGATAAAGAGCCATTAATACCCAGCCTCTGTTTCAAATGATGTAAATGCAACTGCACAGGTTAACTTGTCCATGCTTTAAATTTTGGGGCTTTTTTTTTGTATTTTGGGGCCTGTAATTAAAACAAGTGCTAGTGGAGATCTTTTTAGTCTAGGTGGAAAAGAAGATAAGAAGTAGGGTACCTGCCTAAAGGTCTGTTCCCTTGTTCCTCATAACTCAGCAAACCCAAGGTGATGCACATTCCCTTGCCTTGACCAATGCATCATCAAACAACAGAGTCTGTTATTTTGAGCTCAAACTTGAGCAACCACAGTTTGGCCTTAGGGTGAGGTGGAGGAATACACTGCAACTTCTGAAGACATGTGTCCCCAAGCTAAACTCATTAACCAAGAGTGGAAAAAAGCCTGTGTGTTGCAAGAGAAGACCACTTCAGGTGCCCTAATCTTGTTAAATTACTAGCATGCCACTTCATACAGTGAAGACTCCTATTGTGATATCAGATACCTTTTTGCATAGTTACTGCAAAAGTTAATCATCTCTATGTGAGAGAAAAGAGCAAGCACTGAAAGCAGAAAAACCCAGAGAGAAAAACAAAGCAGAATTTTGCAAAAGACAAACAAATCAAATTATTAATCTGCCCATGCAGAGGCAGGGAAGACTCAAGTAGTAAACAGATTAAAATAAGCACAGTAACAGACAGATAAAATGAGCAGACTCTTTCCAGAAGAATACCAAAACTACATAGTATTTGACCTTGAGAAAATGTTTATCCCCTCATATTTACCTAATCCCCTCATTATTTTGTATACACATAGTAAGTGCTTTTTAGGGGCAGGGCAAGCTGCTTGCTCTGAAGTGCTGTGTATGTTTAGGATGCTGTATAAAAATAAAAGACCAGAGAGAATGGGTTTTAGTATGTGGGTCCTGCACACCCTGGTTAACCTCAGTGCTGTTAAACCATGTGAATAGTGTGAGTTGTCACTGAGAAGATACAAAGCCAAATCTGAAGTCTCTTAACTCACCTGAACAATCCAAACATCTACTGGCATTTCCCAGCATGTCCTGCTGTGATTATATAATAAGGCAATGGTCATATTTATAAATAAAACCCAAAAAACAATAGAGCAGGCACATGACTTCTGTTGCTTCCCATGAATTCTACACTGCACTTGGGACTTCCAGCCCCGAAACAGCCACAGAGAGATCCAACAGTTGAAAATCAGAGTGAAAATCAGGGATAACCATTCTCATCTTTCCTGGTATGAATTCTTTCAGATCTGTTATGAGCTTCTTCCTTTTATATCCCACCTCACTACAGTGGTATCCACCCTGGCCTGTGTGCTGAGGAAAATCCACCTCCAGGACAGCAGTAACGAGAGCACCAGAGGATCAGATCACCACACAGCATAAAGGAAAACTGGAACAGGCTAAGGTGGCAGAGACAGTTTAGAAATGGACCAAAAAGTGAACCATGGTGACCCAACCAGCTTGTAATAGGTGCATTGCACAGAGATACGAGAAGGCAACATTACCAGAGCTTCTCTAATGATTTAAATGCTCTCATTTTGAGAAAGACACAAGATTTACTATACTGTTAGGTTATGCAGAAACAGAAGCAACCCCTGGTGACTCTGTTGTGCTGTCCTGTGTAGAAGCAGACGCCTGCTTCCACCTCACACTGTGAATAAGTCAATTATTTATTCTGTAAGATTGATTAGCAACATATTCTCTTGGTGTTCAGCTCAACACAGAGTGACTGGGCCAAAATCCTCCAGGGGGTTACAAGCAATTTTTGCAATAGAAAATAATCCTCAAGCCCATTTACTGTCATACACAAGTTTCTAGAGCACATTGGAAAATCTGGATTCATACAGTTGACCAGAAAACTTTTCTGTACGCCTAAGATCACGACTGCAAAGAATCCTCTGTTGTGTCTAGCTTTAAACAGCTTTGCAGCTAACAGACTCTCCTGTCAGAGCAGGGCATGTCACACATAGTGATGAACAAACCAGTCTCAGACAAATGCTGAAGGACGTGTAAGAATAAACATGTAGACTGTTCTGCACTTTGCAAGAGAGGATCAGAAAAATACATTCCTACTGCCAGTTAATGGCCAAAATTATGGTCCAAGAGACTGTCAAGAAGATCACAGAAGGCAGGAACTTGGAGAGTTAGCATGGATATTTCAAAAGATGCATCAGTGAACAATGTATGGGTAATGTATTTGGCAAACACAACAGCCACCTTTTATTATGAAAAGGTATTTTAATTCATTAGACAGGATCTCCCACATGGCAAATTGTAAAAGTAAACTCAGTGTATGTATTATTAGAATATTTACAGAATTCCATATGTAAGAAGAATTTTTCCACTTCATCACACTTTTGAAATGCTCTTAATTATTGGTGGCAAGGGATGAAAAGAAAAAAGCCTGACTCTGTTTGCATGACTGACAATTAGAAAAAAGGCTTTTGGTCAGTTGAGCAAATATGATCTGGAGTCACTGACACATAAATGTAAAATCTCCCAGGGAGAAGAGGTACTTTTCAAAATAAAGTCATGCTTTGAATTCTGGGAGAAGCAAAAGGCAGACAATGGATCTTCTCATTCAAATACATTCTAAAAACCGATGAGGGTTATTGCAGCATCAGCCTATTACACTGTGAAGACATAACCTATTGCACAAACCAGGTATGGAATTGAGCATCTGCAGCATGTGTTTAAGGACTGCCCACTGAGAGTGCACCACAGATAGAAAGCTCCCAAGGGAAAGAACTCCCCTAAAACAACACACAGCCTTCAGCAAATTCTCACAGCTCATGTCACAAATGGTTGATCCCAGAGATCTATTCTCCGAATGACAGCTACTCTCTGTGTTGTCTTAGTGACTCAGGCAACACGTGGAAGTGAGGTCTGGTTTCTGCCAGAGTCTCTCTGTTACCTCAAAGAGACATGATACTGTCTCTCAGAATATTGAACTGGTTCTTTAAATCAGTGTACAAGAGAGGAGGATTTATGAGGAAGTCAAACCCAGCACAACCGTTTGCACAACAGCACCCATGCAAGCAATCCTTCCAGCAGAATTTACTCATCTCAGCTAAGGGTGTGCATCACACCTTTCAGGTGTTCGAGCAGTTGTTCCTCCTCCCACTGGTACAGAAAGTGAAGAACAGCACACTAGAGAATTCTGAGCAACGAATCAAACATTAAGTGCAGTGAAGAGACCATGCAGAAACCCCTACGAAAGCAGCAAGAAGAGAGAGAGAGACCACCGAGATCCTAACTCTCCCACCCAAGGTGACAGCACCAGGGCAGTGATGTGTCCTTACTTGGTTCAGTAGTCAATTAGGAATCAGTTATAAGGTACCTTGTAAATAACAGCTATGGCTCCTGTGCACACACACACGTTAAACTTAGTATGAGAAATTTAGTCTTTGTCTCTACAGCTCAGTTAATGGCAGCATTTTACAGCACCTTCCCACTTAAAACAATCCCCTCTGTCAGCTCCCTCCAGAACGAGATTCTGCCATTGCTGTGCTTCAGTTGCTAGAGACCTTCACAGTAAGACACTGGGGAAGAGCCCCTTGAGAACAGAGTATTCCCCCAAGACACTGCTGAAACCTTGAAACACATGAGGGCTGTGACGCTTCTTTCCCATTGTTGCCAAGTTAACCTTTCACCTGCAGGACTCACTGATTCCATGTGCCCAACCTGTGATAAGCTGGAAATGAAATAGTTTTGACAGCTATGAAAGGTCAGTTGTAAAAACAATGTATTTATTTTAGCTCAGTACCTTACCTACAGCATCTGCTATTCATTGCCATATTAATGCATCCACAAAGGAAAAGTTGGACTCCTCCCTGCAGCAGAACAATGATGACACCTAGGAGCAGGATGCTAAGAACAGGAACCCACATCTTACCACAGCACATGTGAAACTATATCCTCCAGCTGCAAGAACAGAATCCAGAGATGATTTCACAAAACCCCTGGGGATGCATTTAAGACATCTGAAATAAGGAAGGAAGAAATACTGGAAAATGACCTTCCAAGTGCTGTTTGCAAACATTCGCAAGTAAATGGAACCTTAGAGTGCTGTGAATGGTACAATCAGGAATTCACACATGGCAAACTGTTACTGGCAGTGATTCATCAACCTCTCACTCACAGAAAACCCAACCTCCACTCTATCTGCAAGACTTTGCAGAACGCTATGTCAAGATTTACTGGTTTTGCCATGTTTCATGAAAGCACTGTGGTAAGTATTGTGTGTTTAGGTGCTTCAGTCTCCCTACTGCTCTCACCAACACAGATAAGGCAGTCCTCAAGAAAACTAAGATCTGTCAGTAACTGGCTGTTACTTGAAATGCATGGTTGACTTTTCAGTATCAGGGTTTTCTTCCACCCCACGGACACAAATGTAAATAATTTGACCCATCTCCAAAATAACAATTTCTCATGTCAACCAAACCTCATACATCGCTATGATAAACTTAAGAGTTTTTCCGTTATCCTCACCCACTTATATTTATGAGAATATTTGCACACAATTCAGAAATGTGAAATATTTGCAAAGTTACATGGATTTTATGACTAAGTTGGGAAAGCTTAATAACTTCCCAAATGGAAAAGCTATCAGCCACTTGGGTTGTGCTCACAAACGTGCTGGCCCTTGAACGGGAATGCAGATGTCTTTTCCACAGAAATATGCTTGTATATTGAAAAAGAAAAAAAAAACACCCCATGATCTACAGTCCAGGGTCGTGCTGCACTGCAGCACGTGGCAACGAGTCAAAACTTTTCAGCTTTACTCATTTAAAGGATATTTCAATTGCCCTCATTACCACTGACCTTTTGCTAACACAGAGCACTGATCTGAGCTAGGGCTGAATAATCCCCTGCCACAGAAAACTGCTGCTGCAAAGCCAAAGAATATTTGAGATACCTGATGCAACAAAAAGATAACCAATGGCACATATATTCTTTCCAGGCATGGTTTATTGAAAACACACCAAATTGTTATCCTACATACCTGGTTTCTAACAAGCATTCTACTTGTC